GGGCGGGGCCTCACCTCCGCAGCACTCCTCCCAGCAGCGACGCGTTGAGACACTCGGGCGGCGAGAGGCGCCGCTGCACTTCCGCTACCGTGACCTTGTACTTCGAGGTGGAGCTGAGGAGCGAGAGGCGACCCGGAACTGAACAGAAGACTTCGTTGGGGTTCACCACGCCGCCGAAGAGGTTGTCCTTGTTGATAGGGATGGAGGAAACGGCGTTGCTGTTGGACTTGGACAGGGACACGGGGCCTGCGGAAAAAGAAGGGAGGCCGCTCGAGGTCGCCCGGGGCCCCGGGTCCCTGGTCTGGCGCCGCAGCCTCCGCCTCTCCTCCCGGCCAGCTCTGAAGTCCTGTAGCTTTTACCCACTGCCCAGCTCCCTCCTGCTCCCTGCTCGTCCCCAGCCCCGGATCCCTTCCTGCGCGACCCGGCCCTCTGAGCTGGGAGCGACCTGGCGACCCCTGTGCCCCGCGCGAGCCGAGGGCGCCCGAGCTCGGTGCAGTGTAGGGGTCAGGGGACGGGGTTGTGTTGCAAACCGAGGGTAAATTAGGTCTGCAGTGGGGTTTTGCGGGGTGATGGGCTTAGTGTCGGGCCGAAATAGCTTTTACTAAAACCAGCCGACAGTTTAGACAGCGAAAACAACTGGTAAATAAGCTTTCCAATTTCAGGCACTAAACTAGAAAGTGGTAAATTCACATCACATGTCCCGACCTTTTGATACACAGGCCCACTCTGACCGGCTTTTGGAGATCCACTCCATGCCGTTTGAACTGGGATAGGGATAGGGTGAAGTATAGGCCTAGCAGAACACCAGCAGTGTGTCCTTTTGTTGAGCAAATACTTAATAGCCCCTGCAGGCTTAAGCTCCTTCAGTGGGAGAGGTTAGAAGGTACAGTATTCTTCCTAGTTAAAACCAGAAGCTCTTCATTGTTAGGAAAAAATTCAAGACCAGCATACAGTACATTGTTAATTTCTCAACAGCAGTGTAATTCAGAGGCATGCATTCACAACCATTTAAGTACAGTGTGCATTTGTAATTTAAAATTCCATGCGAAGACATAATGATGTGCATCACAGCGCTCCCCATTTGTTCTTTAGTGGGCGATATTGTAGCAGTATGGGAGGTGGGGGCTCTAGGTTTTGGATAGATCACTTGTGACATTAATAGCTCTGGGGAGGCTAATAGAGACAATAGGAGTTAAACGAACTCTTGAGAGATTACTAATAAAAGAGCCAATTATCATGTCGAGTTGGAAAGAGCATCTCTTAAGATTTATCCCTTGCACATCTAATTTGACGTGACAAAGACTTCACACATGCAAAAATGAAACTTTAAACTAGCTAACAATATACTGATTGGGGTTAGAAATGAGAACAGTTTTATATAGCATCGTCCTCTGGTGGTGCCTAGAATCCTGAAATGTAACATTGTCACCATAACCAAAAAAAAAAAAAGCTGCTACCCACTGAATAGCCTTTAATCCAGGAAACTTTATTCTACTCTCTAAACAATACAAACCCATCCAAATCACTCAGACACTTTTCCAACAATTGCTGCTTGGAAGAGATATGCTAATAATCCTCAAGGTGCTAATTTTAACCAAAAGCTAAATTTTTGTAACCTAATTCACAAAGTTGCAAAACCCTAAACAGCCAACAAGAAGCTAAACTTAAGAGCATGAAAGATTAAACCCATCCCCGTATATGGAGTGCTTCTTAAGCATCTATCCTTAACATTAATATGAAATTATTTGTACTATTTTAACATAAAAGACTTCTAACACCCATGGCCTTAACTCCACTTCACACAATGGATTAGCTAAACTATTAAACCGGTTCAAAATTGAAATGCTGCTTCCAAATCAGGTTCAACTATTGCACATTTCATGTGTTTGTCCAAATATCATTAAACTAAATTAAATGGTCAACTCATGAATCAGAACAAAGCTAGCCTGTTGCCATTACCGAAATGCTGAAAGCTGATTATTTAAGCATTGCTCCTCTATGCTTATCTATTTGCTAATTCTGAGCCTTTAGGAAATCCTATTTGAAAAAAATAAATACAGCTCTGCAAGTTCTTTTAAATAGTGCTCTGCCTGTAAGGACATGCTTGGAATGCAGAAGGAAATGGCTTACCTTTCTTAATTACAGTTTGATCTGGGATGTTAAGACCCGGGTCTTCTACATGCTGCAACAAAAGGATACACATGGATGTAAGTGTATAATCAAAACAAAAGGAAATGAAATGAATATTCTGCGTGAGATGGGGGAGGGGAAGGTGTACAATCAAAATTCCCCCTCCCAGAAGGTGACATTTATATATAAACATCTCATCTTGGCTTATTGGAATTTGAGGCTTTGCAACTCAAGAGGTTTCATTGCACACCCACAGCCAAATTCTCCCCCCAGCAAATAATCCATGTTTGAAGGGGGTGGGGTGGGGAATAAAACTTTCTTTGGAAATTAAATCAAGTTTTGGAGACCTAATCTTCCTCACAGTCAGTTCAACCTTTAGAAATACTCCTAGCTTTAGTTTGGCGCCTCAGTGGCTTCGGACTTTACTTTCGAGCTTCCGGTGTTCAGGTAGCAAAAGCCAGGGCAACACAATAGAAATGACAGGGGAGGGGGCAACAAGACTGTTGGAAACCATTTAGGTAGTGTAAAACAGAGCAAGCACACCTTTGCTTGTGGAGAATTAGAAATAATTTTAAAGACTACTACGCCTAAACTGGATGCAATAGGAATATGAAAATGATCAAAAATAAATTTTTAAAAAACCCTCTGAGGTTGCTTTTCTGTTGTCCAAGCAGCAGATTTGTCAGTGTGAGCTTTTTCTTTTTTACAGATGAATGGGTATACGTGTGTGTGCTAGAGTCGAAACGTGATTAGAAAGTAAAATGAAATCATGTTTTCTAATGCAGAAACTGACAGGCAATATAATGTCTGGCTGTGTTTACAAATTAGCACCAGGGCTGCTGAGATAGAAGATTTCGCAATCGTTACCAAACACAGGCATTACCATTTAAAAAACTATTACTTCCTTCTCTAGTCTTTGTCCAACAATAATACTGATTCGAACATTTTCCATTCTGTCTTGGATTTATGCTCCTGTTAATTGTGCCTGATCGCAATGATTCCGGGTGGATGGTACTAAGTTGCTTTATTACAGGTTTTATTATACTCAATGCTCTCATTTGTAACTTGCCTAAAGTGCTTCTGGATTTAAGTATAATTAAATTGAGAAATGTTCAGAAATGACTACTACTGCAGTTCTTGTGTTCTAACTATATGGGGAAATATGATCCCTTTATGCATGCACCCTAAACCCATAAAGCAAATGTAGTGTAGCATAATACTTTTATTTGTGTTATTTCTAGACCTTGTCCATACAGGGAAGACTATTAAGTTTAAAGCCCCACTGAGATATTAATGATTAAATAATTTTCACCATCGATTTGATTTTCTTGAATATTTAGCCGTCATTGTTATTAAAGGTTAACTGTTGCAGTAATGGGAAAATAGAAAACAACCCTTTTCCTGACCCAAATTCCTTTGAAAGAATTTTTTTCCTTAAAAGGTGGGGGAGGGAGAGGGAAGAGCAGCAACTGGGTTTCCTTGCTTTTATTTGATCTTCTGCTTAATTTCTCCTACAGACCAATTTACACACGAAGAGTGACTGTACAGGTATTGAGAATTCCCACCAGCCATCTGAAATTTTTGCAAAGTAGAGCAATTCTAATTCACAGTAGTTCCAAAAGCTTATATTATTTTGCAATTCAAATATTTCTAAAAATCAAGCAAGAAAAAGACTTCAAAGACTCCTCAGGCAAAGGAACTAAAATGCTCAGTTCTTTTAAAAATTGCCCTTTTCTAAAGTACTCATTTTACTTCTCCCAAAATGCACCATTAAGTAACACTTTCGAAAGACATGTAAACATGAGCACACACACAATGCTTGCTAAACCTTAGCCTGGATCAAAGTGCCTACTTTTCTGTTTTCCATAGAAGGCTGCTAAACATACCCAACGAATTTCAGTGATTAACTAGGCCAAATGAGAGATGTAATAAATTTTCTATAGAACTTAAATAATGTTTTAGATCCACCAAGCAAGCAGGTAAGTTCACGTGACCATTTTCCTTGCAATCTAATGCAGTAATCATTAAACTGTCAGCGGATATACTGCTGCTATATTTGATGCAGTAATTTGAAATAGCATTTTAGCAAAAATCACATCCAGATACATTTCCTCTCCAAAGAAACGCAGCTTTAACAGAAGCCTTTACAGCTTTAATAAAATTATTGGCTTGCTCTAATTCCATTTCAGGAAGGTCGCGAGGAAACCATAAATATATAGAATTGCAACAGTGATGCTGGTTTAAATTTAATTTCAGCAAGTATTTTCAAATTATCAATAGCCTGGTTTGCGTTGTAAATAGCAAATGTGCTAATGCCATGCTTATTTAGAAATCATTTTAAATTGCATTTATTGATAACTGAATTAGAACTCAACGTGTTACCCAATAGTCTCAAAACATTTAATTTAATATGGGGTGTAGCAGGTTCTGATAGGTGTTGGGAACCTGGCTAATGATTTATGAGGTCACCGCTTAGCACCCCTAGGAGGAGGAGAAAGCTGTATTTTAATGTCCCTCTGCCTGAGTTTGTTACTGACTTTTCTTCAATCAGGACAGGGTCTACACAACTTTTAGGTTTCACTGGTGCTTATAAAATCCGGTTTAATGCTCCTTTTAGTGCATCTTTCACACTTCCTTTTACATTGTGGGAGCTCTTTTGGTTAAATTTAACATCTGTCCGAGGACGGGGAGAGATCCCCAAGTCAGCCTGAGCGAGTGGGAATGAGGTCCTCGCCATCGAAACAGTTCCCTGCCGTCGTGGACAGGGGCAGCCTCTGTCAGTGGTGACATGCTTCTGATTTATTCCGTGTCGGTGGAAATGGTAATGGTGGCATTGTTTGAGGGAGCTCCGGGAACCATTGTTCTGGACTCTCCATCGTTTCTTTACAGTTTTCAATTTGGTTGTTTATGTGGGTCCTCAAGGCACTCCCCACCACCACCACCACAACTATCACCAAATAAACATTTCACGAAGGATCCTCCTGGAGGAGAGCCCCGCCCGGCCGCGGCTTCCCGGGACATCTCAGCACCAAGAGAGGCGCCTTGTCCTGGCCCCGCGCGGCCTCTTACCGGGACGTCCTCGATAGCGTGAGGTAAGGAGTGGATCGGGAGGTCTCCGAGTCCGGAGCCGAGCCCGTGCGGGCCGTGCAGGAGGTCCTCGTGCCGCCGGTAGTCCCTGCGAGGATCCAGGCCCGACAGCTGGTGGGGCAGCCCCCGGTGCGTGTGCAGTAGCCCAGACTCCTGGCTCTGCCTCTGGCCGGGCCAGCCCGGG